ACTACCAGAAGCTAATGTATTTCCATCAGGAGAGAAACAGACTGAAATAACATAGTTACTATGACCATCTAATTTGGCTATTTTTTTCTTAGTTTCAACATCCCATAGACGGATAGACTTATCATAACTACCAGAAGCTAATGTATTTCCATCAGAAGAGAAACAGACTGAGTTAATACTATTATTATGACCATTTAATTTGGCTTTTTATTATCCTGTTTTTACATCCCATAGACGGATAGAGTTATCACTACTACCAGAAGCTAATGTATTTCCATCAGGAGAGAAACAGACTGAGTAGACAGTACTAGTATGGCCATCTAATTTGGCTTTTTATTATCCTGTTTTGATATCCCATATACGGATAGACTGATCTCTACTACCAGAAGCCAATGTATTTCCATCAGGAGAAATACATACTGAATTCGCACAACTTCTATGTCCATCCAACTTATTCAATTCATGGATTTTAATGTTCTTCCATTTACATTTGAACATCTAAGCACCATTCAAATTCAATCCGCTGATATCTACATTATCAAACTCGGATCCATTCAAGTTGCATCTAACAAAGTTACCACCAATCAAAGAAGTATTCTTTATTCTGATATTCACAAATGATTGGTTTCTGATATCTACCTTCATCTAAACTAATATATGTAATGAATTAGATCCACATTATATTAAAGTGTTATCTATAGATGTAAGGTGAACTAAAAATTACAAAAATTCAATGATCCTTCTATTATCTTTGATGCTATTAATTAGAAATAATGTAGATTCTTCATTTTCTTAAGAGGAAAAGTCTTTGTTATTGAAGTCATGATCTTTTAATTTTCTTAAGACTTCTGTGAATAATTTGATATCAATTCTAACAACAGACAATATCTATTCTGTATCATTTTGTGTGAAATTCCCTGCTTGTTTTAAAATTTGTGATACTAATTGTCTCTAATTCCCCATTTCTTATAGATATCCAATGCTGTCTTAAACTTACTCCTTTCGAAATATAATCTAATATAGCCCCAAAGATTTGTATATCTACATCTTTTAAATGACCAAAGATGTCAGCTAGAGCTTCCTTCTCTTAAAAATTGGCTTGCATATTCTTTTTTATTTTTAATAATGAATTTCTATTACTCTATTTAATTTATATACTGCAAAATCGATAAAAGTATCTTGTGCATTTCTGTAAAATAGAAGTTAGGACTTTGTGTAGATTTGGAATTGATTGTAGTAGATGTTAATTATACTATTGAGAATTCATTTCAATATCTGCATTACTTGATTTTATAATAATATAGAATATAATTATTTGATATGACTATTTTAATTTATAAAAAAATTGAGTTCAATGATTAATTCATAAATTTTTCTTGTTTATCTTTAAATTTTAAGCTAATTGTTTTAAGATTGGAATATGATTTTTGGATTTCTAGTTTTAATTAATGAGGCAAGGTATGTTGATTACTGTGAATGATCAATTTTCTGTAATAATGTTTACTTTTTTTATTATTTTATAAAATAGTAATACCCCCATCTTTGAAAAAAACAAAAGGAAAAAGTGAAGATGTACTTTTTGGCCAGCTCAATTTTGCATCCACAATTTTGTAATAAATATAAGTGATAAAGACATGAGGACTTCACCAATATTCTTATCTATGTACCCGCTAAAAATTGATGTATGAATCAATAATATAAAAGGGATGAAAAAATTTCCAAAAAAAAATAAGTATTAAGAAAAAAGTAAATTGAATAAGTAAAATTATAAATATATAAGGAAAAACCTTAACATTTTTAAAGAAAACCTAAATATTTTGAAAAAAATCTTACTGAAAAATGAAAGATGTACTTTTTGGAGGTGTGAAATTTCCCTCCACATTTTCTCTATTATTTTTAAAGATGAAATACTAAATTGTTAATGAGTATTCTTAGAATTGTACAAGCTATAAAAATCTTCAATTTTTACTCATAATTTTTTTTTATACAAAAAGATTGCCATTACTGTTTTGACTATTAATTAAATTTGAGTTTTTATTTAGTATATGCAATTATGAAACATTTGCAATTTTATACAATCATCTACAATATTATGGTAGGTTAACTTAATTTATTTTTATTTATTAAAGGGATTGATATTAATAGTTTGATAATAGTAAAAGATAGATTTAATAACAAAAAATCTAAAAGAAAAAAATGTGTCAAGAATTCAAACATTAAAGTAAATATTAGAAATAATTTAAACTAGAAAAAAGTATTAATAATAAGAGTGGATGATATTTCATATTGAAAGTAATATACCTATCACCTTTGATCATTATTCTTGAATTGATGTTATGTTATAAAAGACTGGAAAAAAGCTATATTCATCATCAAAATGTAGTATATTTAAGAAATTATTAAGATTTACAGAGATAATTATAACTTCTCTAATCGCAATCTAAGATTCTTAATTACTGATTAACTTAAGCTCAACTTTAATACATCATTTATAAATTACTGAGTTTGTATAATCATTTTTAATTTCAAGCGAATTTTCAAGAAATTAATTAGTGTCTATACAGAAAATAATATCCTTCAAGACTTTCAAAACTCATCAACTGGTTAAATTTAACAATTAAATTAAAGGAGTAAACGAATAAAAAAGTAAACCATATATAAACGCAATATTAGATTAACCCCCTAAATAAATTTGATGATAAATTTGAAGAAGTAACGATAGATATTAAAAGTAAAAAAGTAATGATATTAATGATTGGTCCCACATAAAAATGCTTGTGAATATTTACTTATATAAGTAAAATAATTACTCACTAATAAACAATTCGATAATTATATAAATTTTAGAATTACGTTTTATATAAATATTACAAAATACAGGATGTAAAGTTAACAAATATAAGCAAAGTCCATTATCTTCTCAAATTTTCTCCTCATCTTTCATCCACTACTGTTCCTCCTTGTTTTACTTATGACTATTCCTCATCTAGTATATACCTTTCAACTCTTTTTTATAACCTCCGGTGGCATAGTGGGTTGACATATTCCCTATGTACCCCTGCTTCCTATGTAAAAGAACCGGTATTTTTACCTCAGCTTTTTCTTTTTTTTTTGGTATTCACTAAACCTAAATAAATAAAAATTAGTATATTTACTTTAAAAGAAGATGAAGGGGTTTATATTTTAAAAACTCGGTGTAAGCTTAAAAGTTACCTTTTTGGACTAACTTAGACTGGTATTTTTATAAGCATTTCAATAACTTCATGTAAAATGGTAGTTATAAAAAGAATTAGTCAATTTTCAACCTTATTATCTGTATAAAGAATGATTATTTTGCCATTCCAAAGGTTGATAAATTGCATCAGAAGAGAAACAGACTGAGTAGACAGTACTAGTATGACCATCTAATTTGGCTTTTTATTATCCTGTTTTGACATCCCATAGACGGATAGACTTATCATAACTACCAGAAGCTAATGTATTTCCATCAAACAGACTGACCTTACCCAATGCTTATGACCATATAATTAATATAAATCGTTTATTCTCAAATTTTTCCAATTACAATTAAATAATTAAACATCATTTAAATAATTCCATTAATATTCACAATATCAAATTTGGATTTTTTTAAAATTCCATTTTGCAAAATTCCCTCCAAATAAAGAAGAATTTTAAATTCTAATATTTTCAAAATTTTAATTTGTTAGATCCACCTTCATTTCAACCAATTTATTAAGTGCATTTGATCCAATTATTGTAAATCTATTATCTATCTTAGTGAGATGAACTAAGAATTTCAATAATTCTATAATCCTAACCTCTTGTGATATTTTTTAAATGAGGTATTGTTTTTTTTCAGCAGAGATTTCAGTGGAATAAATAGCAGAATGAATATCATGTTCTGATCAAACTAGTAATTAAATTATTAGTCTATTTAAAATCATCAAATTATTTTTGTTTTCCAAAAGTGATATATTTCCAATTTAATTAAAATTATAGGAATATTTTTAATTGATATATTTTAGAAACTCTAAAATCCTAGTTCTAATCTTAATTATTTTCTTTTGACAATATTTCTATTATAGTATTCAATATCTATATATCAAAATCTTTTAATTGAACTAATACTTCATATAAATAAGCGGCAGTTAAGAACTCTTATATTGATTCAAGTGTAAATGAAAAGTTAGCACCTTTTTATTAGACAATGTTCTTGCCAATTTAATTGAGTATTATAATAAATCATGTTGAAAACGATCAGTATCTATAAATTTTCTTAAGTTTCTCTGTTTTTCGATTATTTTCAAATGGTAATATTTGATAAACTCACAATAAAAGTCATAAATTGTAAGATTGAATTCTTTCAGTGCATCACAAGCAACTTAGATTATTTCTTCCTAGTAAATTTTTAAATTCTTTAAGATCTAATTTGGTAGCAAAAGGCACTCCCTCAAATTCTTAAGAAATTTTCAATTATTGAGGAATCGAATTTTCTTCAAAATTAATCCAAACTTCAAGAGCAATTTAAGTGTAATTAATAATTTCCAAGTATTTTAAATCGTTCGGAGTAAACATTTTGTTATTTTTTTTTTACTATAACTTCGAAGCAGTCATCGTAATCAACTTAAATTTCTGCTTAAGATTCTTTTTTAACTTCATTTATTAACCCCAATAGATGCCTTTTCTGTTATGATTTATACATCTGAATCCTGTATTTACTTATGGAGAACTCTTTCAACATCTTTGAAAAATTCTTCGAGAACTTTTATTTAATGTTAATAATCTCAGTTGCTTTAA